TATAAGTCTGAATTCGTCATTCACTATACAAAATGGTGTCATATTGTCCATGATCAAGGGGAGGTGGGGCAGCCAAGTGGCTAAAGCGTTCGCTCGTCACGCCGAAGACCCGTGTTCGATTCCGCAGATGGATTAAATGTGTCAAGCCAATTTCTGGTGTCCCCGCCGTGATATTGCAGGAATATTGCTAAAAGCGGTGTGCAAAACTAAACTCACTCACTCATGATAAACAATAGTTTGTTCATTTGGGGTTAAATGACGTTATACCACGCACATGTAGTTCTCGACATTCCGATACCCAGGTAAGACCATTGATTACGTCATACAATAACGTCAGGATAGGAATGACGTAATGTCATCGTCATTATTTATGTCCCATTGGCTTTGGGGGCAAGTGTACTAACAGGTAAGCCGTTTCTTTTACATCACTACAAGTACATACATGTATATGGAGGCATGTGAATGGGTTCAGATCGGATTTGTACGATTCTAGGAATATCACATCACGACATAAGAAAGAGACGCGTCACATTCTACCCATGTGGAATCGAGTCAGGGCTGTATTGTAGTTGCCTCAATGTTGGCAACATTGCGGCCAGACATATTGATGACGATCGACATTGCGAGATAAACCAATACTGAAAAATTGACTGACATGCAAAAAAGCCCTCAAGTATCAGTGTCTTTGGTTTCTATATTACTCGAGTTACCTCCCTTACTCTTCTTGATTAATCTGTGACGTGTTAAAGAAAATCAAGGGCGGGTAATTTGCAACAACCACAGGAATTAATCAAGGAGATACAAAGGATGTCCCACCGTCCATGTAAATTAAGTTGCAACAAACAAACATTAATGATAACAATATGTTCAATTTTATGCGCTATTTTCCATCCGTTGCGGCTGCTTAAAGCGCAGACAATCTGATTATCATTACCCCGGATAACCTATGCTGCCTGTGAAGCGCTAGAAGGTTAATACTCACATGAGTTATCCCACCGGGTACCCATTTTCTGCTGGGTGAAGAGAGGCAATTCTGAACAAACTCACTTGCCTAAGGTGAGACCACATGTATCATATGTGCTTCGTTTAGGGGCAGGAGTAAAGTTCGAGAAACTCTCAGGAGTCAAGCTTTCAAGCACGTCACCAGCTGCAGTGTATGAAATAAGCCAAAACCCAACCCGAGATCAGGGCTGGTAACTTCAAAATGTTACCAGCCCAAAATGGATCTAACCAGACCAGACACCAAGATATGTATGGAACATCCAAAAGTTTTACCAGACCATCGGGCTGGCCAGCTGTAAATCTAGACCGTCCGTCAGAAATCTAGCCCGTCTCGGGCGATGGGACGGGCCTTATTCCATACACTGACGTCACCCATCCAAGGACTCTCCGCGCTCGACGTTGCTTAACTTTAATTGATATGTGACCTGAGCTCTACGCAGAGGACCACACACCACCACATTAACGAGACAAGGCTGATGACAACTGTTATGAAACATTTTCATTACATCTTTACTATCTGCCTGAATTACCATTTCACCTTGTTCCAAAACTAACTGGTTAGAATAAACAGGAACGATCTTTTGTGGATAACAACTTCTTTATTGCAATGGATGCGATGTGTCGGTGTAGATGCTAAAGTGATGGTTAGTGTACTGTTAAAATAATGCTTTCAAAATGTATTGTTTTAACGTGACCCTACATTAGCATACAGCAATATCTGTCAATGAAAGGAAACACGTTTTATAGCAAGCTCCCCAAAACCACATCGTGACAATAATGCAGCACGTGACCTCAGTGGCACATGCCAGGGTTGATATGGCAAATGTCCAATCGTCACTGGGACTCGGTTTTGAGCTGACGCATATTGTTTTCTTGGAACCAAGTACAAAGACATTTTATACATCACATTTATATAGTTAGACGTTTTGGAAGTAACTTTTGCCAAAATGCTGGACTTTTACGTGTTTTGTTCATGTTGAAGGTGCCAAACGCTCCATGTTCCCGGTCAGTCATCTGCAGATTGGTAGCCCGATACCAACAAATACATGACGTGCCAAGGGCACCTCCAAGCAGGGTGATAACTGCGTCTCGGAGATTAGTTGCAACGGGTAACTGGTGCAAGTGTTCATGTCCATAGGTTGCAAAAAAGTCTGCATACACGATAGCTCTGTGTAAGGCGTCCGCATGTCAATCCACAACTAACTGCACGTCATATGACTGGCGTCAGCGGTGGAATGTCTGACTCGCCACTGGGATCATCTACACTGGACAAATGTCATGTTTTCCTGGACCACAGGAGTCGTGTTTGGAGACTACTAGTCTAAATGAGCGTTGTATGGACGTTAATGTCAAACAACGTGATTGTTTTGGAGCTGGGTTAATAATGGCATTGGTCGGCATCACAAGGACGAACTGCGCTCCACCTTGTCTGTGGTAGTGCATGGCATTGTTATCGGGGCAGCATCATTGCGTCAGTCCTTGTGTCATCTCTACAACGTGCAGAACAACGTGTACTCTTGATGACAATGCACGTGTGAATCTTGCCAGGACTATGATCCAAATCTCCAAAACAAAAAGATCACTCGGTGACTGGAAAGAGTAGACGTCATGTGACGTGACATGGCAAGGTTAGCAGTTATTTCGGACCTTTCCAGCCATTGAACACGTCTGGGACGTCACTTTAAGACGTTAACCTCAAGCCAAAATCCACCAAGCATTCTCAGCGAACTGGCTGCTGCGCTCACTAAGGATTTGAACAACATGAGTCAAGATGACGAATCCGTGTATGCCTGGCCAACACAGGTGGTTAGTTGGCGGTTAGAATGGTTATAAGTGTTGTTGGTTGCAAATGCAAATTCGGAATTTCACCCCAACCTCTTTCATAATCGAGCAAGTGCACCACCCTCCCATTACACCAACCATTAACACACATTAGATTGCGTACTCCTCAGCAGGTGATATCATTTCCATTTTTAATACCAATTTTAATGTAAGTTGCATGCTTCTCCCTCGGGTAATACGGTCTGATGTACGCCTTTTGTAGCAGTGTCATCCCTCGTCTACCGGCTCGGGTGACACTGCTTCAAAGAGCCGTACATCAGACCGTATTACCCGAGTTAGAAGCATACAACGTATTTATCTTAAATGTACAAAATATAATTTATTTGGAGATCGCTACCGATTATATGACATGTAAACAAAATAGCGTCTGTTTCTCGACTGTATTTTTAAAATCAGTGAAACATATTCTGACTAGCTTAAAACTGCTATAAAAATGGTTCATTTTGTTTACGTGGAGTGTGCAAACGATTCAATGTATAAAATAGTTTAAATAAAGCAGTGAAAGTCGGTAAATTAAATGTGTACACAGTGAACTCCAAAACAGCTAATCGAACGGTTTTCGAACTCCGTGCACTGCATGCGTCATATTATGACGTCATACGATTGTTAGCGATACAGCTTCTTGGCGGAGAGTTTGGCGGTTACCGTGGCAGCGGGTAATATTTTTTCCAGTTGTCACCCTCCTGGGAGGGGTGACACGGAAACTTGTTGGAAGCGTCATTGACCAATGAAATTAAAGTATTGCACATGAAGGTAAGATAATGACGCGTGTAGCCACGATATCACACACTCTTTAGAATTGTCCGCAGCATGCAGATGTCGTCGTTGACACCACACGTTACCACTGGCGTCAATGGGACGTCTAGGGAAGCCACATAGTTATAACGTCGTTTCCTATTTGATTACTTCCGATCCGCAATGTTTGTTTTCCGAGATTCTATCAGTATATTCTTATTACAAAACAGCACGCTCCAGATTCATTCATTACAACGAGTCAGGAAATATATATGCTAGAAAACGGTATAAGTGTCTATACCGAAAAGTCGCTACTACACAATAAAGAAGTTGATCATCCATAAACACTTGTCATTCCTATACGACTTGAAGCTTGGAATTAAAAAGAATAATGTAAATAATCCAAATAGAAACAGTTAGGGAGGCCGTTCAATGGCCTGTTATCGCCCACATATAAGTACACTTCGGCCTTTCTCATCCCGAAAGCCGTCTTGTAGTAGCGCTTCAATCAGTTGCTGCCACTGTACTAATCTGAAGAAGAGTCAACCTGGTTTTTGTAGATTATTCATCAGCAGCTTGTATCTCCCGAGGCATGGCGCTGATTCATCGATGAAAATTTAGAATCCATGAAGAAAGATCTCTTCGCCAATTGGCCAAATATTTTAAAGATCTTAGTTCATCAAGGTCCACACGGTGTAAAAAGATCGTTTTTCTCAAATTAAACTTCTTACTTTAGAGTCCACGTACACGTTCATGCGCGTGTATTTAACATGACATATTGCGTCGATGAAAACAATAAAACTGCAAAAAACCATGAACATATTTTAATCATATGACAAGAATATACAAATATATAATCACGTCTAAAGTTATGTGCGGAGCTTCAGTTAGTCGAGCTTTACTTACATTTTTGGTCGCTAGTATTAACTAGCTGCACTTGAGGATATATATTAAAATATCAAACATCAGTTCAAGAACAAAGTTTATCAAAACATTCAAAAATTGCTGACGTCAGTCTAAAACGAGACACCGAACGACAGGGAGTGTATGTAGAATGATATTTTTATGGAATCATGCATGATAGATCTGGTGTAATGTCAAACGGTTCGGAATTCGAATATACAAATTGCTACTAAGTACTGGCGATCTGTCAGCGATATCAACATCGGTACTGTGTGGGAGCTCCCATAATTCCACATACGTACCGCTAATAATTTGATGATAAACGTAAGGCTATAAGGGACCGTTCATAATATATGGCTCGTGGGGTGATGATGATATCTATGGAGAAGCATGTACAATGTGAATGACCCCACCCCACCCCCAAATTTGATGTACAAAATTGATGACTCCCTAGCTCCTCAGAACAAAATTGGTGACCCCCTCTTAAATCATCATCAACAACCCCGCCCACCCCACCCCACCCCACACCATATATTATGAATGGACCCTAAATTTGCATCTGTCCTAGTTCAGCAAACTAGCATTCATGTTGCAAAGGCGCTTAACATTGATTAATCCGTGGATCGACTTCACTTATGTTCGATCAATGCCTTCCACTTCATCAAGATAGTGGAATACAGTTTTGTAAATATTGTTCACATATTTTATCCCTTGAATAAAATACTTATATACAAGTTTTAATCGATCAAATTGGAATTCAATAGACTGTGATGTAATCGGTTTTACCATCGTGTGACCTCCCGGGTATCGCCTATTTACTTGTTATACTTTGTTTCACGCTTACGTTCAAGGGTTATAAGGTAGGATTTTAAGTACATTCCTGCGTGTACTTGCATTGTCTAGACCATGGGCTGGTCAAGGCGAAGATCCGAGATTGAGTTCCAAGTACAGCTGACGCTGAAGCTGAAGTACACCTGGAGTAATGCTCAAAGCCGCTGGAGGTACCTGCATCATGATATAACGTTCATTCTGTCACAGGTTTACAGTTTTGTCCAACATTAGGCAAATGAACATGAAAATTGTTATGAGTTAGCCTTTAAGGGAGTGTTTGCTTCTTTGTCTCCCTCATTTTCTTTCTCTTTGGCCTTGACCTTTCTCCTGACCAATGGTTCTCCGACCAGCAGGAGGAGAGATGCTATGTAGCCGGCGCATCCGAGGTAGGTGTAGCAGTAGCTGTAGGAACCACTGGCTTCCTTGATGCTGCCTAAAAGGATACATTGGCATAATGAGGCTTGATAGAACAGAAGAGACTGCGTGTGGGAACATAGAGCCAATATTGACGAGGAATCGTCTTATGGGGAGGTAGTTTAAATTTTGAGTTTTCGAAAAAATGTTTTTCATTTTTTCATCCTTAGCATATTCATGACAACTGCATGTTGAATTTTGTCAAATCCTTTGTCAGAAAGTGGCCACAGTGCGGAGAGTTTCTGGACTTTCGGGTTTCCAGAATTAAATTGTGACGTGTTCGTCAGATAAAATACGAAAACAAGTGTTGATGCAATGCCTATATGAAAATGGGCAAACAGGAAATATCATGGGTCTATAAGCGAAAGCAAGTGAGGACATGAGGGTACATATGAAAACAGGAGATGACGCAAGGCTTTATATAACAACAAGTGTTGACGCAGTGCTTCGTATAAAAAAAGAGATGACACTACTAAAAATATGAAACAAGTGTTGGTAAAAGACTTCTTATCAACAAGGCGATGACGCATGGGTACATGTGCAAACAGGAAATGACATGGGAGTATAAGCGAAAGTCAACGAGGACATGAGGGTACATAAAAACAGGAGAAGATGCAGGACTTTACATAAAACAAGTGTTGACGCAAGTTACATGTGAAAACAAAAGATGACGCAAAAGCTTCAAGTGAAGACAAAAGATGATGCCAAGCTACGAATGAAAACAAAAGCTGACGCAAAGCTTCAAGTGAAAACAAAAGATGACGCCAGCTACGAATGAAAACAAAAGAAGACGCAAAGCTACATGTGAAAACAAAAGATGACGTACAGCTTCAAGTGAAGACAAAAGATGACGCAAAGCTTCAGGTGAAGACAAAAGATGATGCCAAGCTACGAATGAAAACAAAAGCTGACGCAAAGCTTCAAGTGAAAACAAAAGATGATGCCACGCTACCAATGTTAGACAAAAGATGACGCAAAGCTTCAAGTGAACACAAAAGATGACGTGGGGCTACATATGACAGTAAAAGGTAAATGTGGAGAAACAAAGTTGGGTATGGATGACCTAAAAGAGGATAACGATAACCATTGGGCGTCTGGGGATCGGGAAAAATGAGTGTTTACACGAAGAGATATTCATAACAGATCGACATATACTTAGAGAAGCAAATAAAGGGTCACAGGAAAATTCAAGCGTTCCTTTAATTTTTCCAGTTTTCATCACCACAGCGCTATTCAAAGCTGGTGTTATGTATCCCCATATATACTGAGAGAAACAAATTAAAGGATCACAGGTAAATTTAAGCGTTCCTTTAATATTTTCAAGTTTTGATCACCACAGCGCTGTTCCTGTGATCCTTTATTTGTTTCTCTCAGTATATATGGGGATGCATAACACAAGCTATACGTTGATACGCACCTAGAACTGGATGAGTGATGGCAACTGACATCCCATGAAACATGGAGGAGAAACCGAGGGTCTTTCCCATGTACTCCAAGCCCATATAATCCACGATCAGAACTGGCACGAGACTTTGGTAAGCGCTTCCAAAGATTCCGTTGAAAACAGCAAACATTATCATCAGAGGATACGTAGTGAAATAACTGGTGAACTGGGACATGGTGCTAGCTATAATCAAACCGATCGCCATTGTTTGGTTTACTTTTATCAACTTTAAGTCAACAAACACGCCCAAAAGTATCCGGCAGAAAAAGTCCATGGCACCCATTATGAGCAGTAAAAGAGCAGAATCTGTCTTGTTGATATGGTTCTCGTTGGCGAAAGCAGGTATGTAGTTCGAGATCAAATTACTGCATATTCCAAACACGGCAGTAATGGCAAAAAGTTGAAACATCGGCATTCGTACCAAGGAGAGGTCCAAAATAGCACCTGCGCATTTGCAACATTTGGATTTTTCCTTCACAAAGGACGTATTTTCCTCTAACTCCTCATCCCCTGTGTTAGCTAGATCTAAAATTGAAATCGATAACAACTCTGGATCACTTGTGAAAAGTCTTTTCTCAGATACCGAAACTGTTCGTTGGCGTGTGAAAGTACCAGCTGACAGTGGGTTGTCCTTGCATGAATCTGCAGAGCAAGACAGTGCAGTTTCCAGAACTTCCTCCAAATCTTTTTGTCCTTCATCCACCTTCCCCTTCACTTGATCATTGTGATTTGATTTGGCATTTCCGTTTTCACTGTTTGAAGAAGGCTGTTGATTTATTTTGTCTAGATTTTCTTGTTTCTCAACGTCAAGGATAGGACTTTTCTTCTTTTTGAAGGATTCTATTGGCCTAAATAGACTTGCTCCCACGAGCACGTTCATCGTCATCCCTGTGCATATCAGCATGGTGCCTCGTATGCCATATTCATCCAGTAAAAGCCTTATAATCACTGGAAACACGCCAGATGCAATGCTTACTCCTGACATTGAGATTGACGTTGCTAAGCCGCGACGCTTCTTGAAATATCGGCCGATCATGACAAGTGCAGGACCTGGGATCATTGAATTGCCTATCCCTGAAAAAAGAGACGTCATTGTTACAAATATGTTCATGCAATTGATTATTTAGAGGTTCAAGTGTGATATTGCTGGTTTATTGCTAAGGTATTGCCGCAATACATCGAAACATTGTCAATGTAATATCCAGAACCGTGAAGGTCCGGGTTAGAATTGATCTTCAGCAACCCATGCTTGTCGTAAGAGGCGACTAACGGGATCGGGTGGTCAGGCTCGCTGACTTGGTTGACACATGTCATCGTATCCCAAGATGCTCATGCTGTTGATCACTGAGTTGTCTGGCTGGTCCAGACATGGTTATTTACCGACCGCCACCATATAAATGGAATATTGCTGGTGCAGCATAAAACTAAACTCACCCACTCAATGTAATATCCAGACGATGTATTGTCATATATTGCTCATGCATTGCCGATATATTACCGATTCATCGTCTATATCTAGCTGACATACCAATATACTGGTGATTATTACCGATATAGTCTTCATGTAAAATCGGTATATGGATGATGTATTTCCGATATACTAATGACATATTGTCATCATATTGCTGATGTATTGCTGATATTTAACTAGCGTATTGCCTACATATGGCCCCTTTATTGCAGGTACAATGCATTATTTAGAGCTGCTCCATTATATGTTTATGTTCATTAGTAGACAAAATAGGAATAGTCAAATAGGGAGTGGTCATAATCAGGAAGATACCCTTTCATTGCTATGTCTATATCAATGATGTATTGCCGATATACTAATGACATACAGCCATCATATTGCTGATGTATTGCTGATATTTAATTTGCCTACTGCCTATATATTGCCGATTTAATACCGATATATCGCTCATTTATAATCACTATGTCGATTATGTATTTCCGATATTTAATGATGTATTGCCGATATATTTCTGAATAAAGGGGCGGTGGGGTTGCCTGGTGATTAAAGCGTTCGCTCGTCACGCCGGTTCGATTCCCCACATGGGTACAATGTGTGAAGCCTATTTCTGGTGTCCCCCGCTGTGACATTGCTGGAATATTTCTAAACGCGGCGTAAAACGCAACTCATTCACTCACTCACTCTGATGAATAAAGATACAATCAGTCAAACCAGAAAGGTATCCAACAGGAAAGGAATGCACCCAGACAACGAAGATAGAAAACAGAGATATTTATGCCCATAAGGTCAGAGTCGATAGTGGTTGTTGTCGTCTCTTGAACATTTATCAATAATAATCGGCCTGAATAGATCTAGTTCGTGCAATACAAACCATGGGCGATGTCATGTAGATCGACCATGGTTTCTGGGTCACGTTAACACGTAATGAACAAAGGTCAGAAAGCAGGATCACCTTAACACACTTTGTATGATAAGGAGCAGGGTGATGTTTGCTCACAAGATCAAGTGTCCTCTTGAAATGGGTCATATATGTTTGTGTTAGCGTATGATGTTGGAAATCGGCCATATACAGAGATTTCTTGTTATTTTGAGTGTTTGTATATTTGTACCGCAAATTTGCTCTCGTTACTTTCTGGGGATGTTAAGCTAATCTCAAAAAGTCAAAATTTCCACAGGGGCTTGTAACGCTAAAACCTGGTAAACAAGGTATATACTGTCACAGACGGGGTCTTAGTACTACAGTATATAAAAGGAAAGGGATGTAACGAGGTCAACACACCAAGTTCGTTCCAGAGCGAATTCAACAATGCTCACTGTATTTATCCCATTTAAAAGTATGCACACATTTCAAGCCAATAGATGTACCTACAAAATAGGACATACAGCACAAAAATCGAAGCAGTACTTTGGGAGCTAGGGTCTTCGGAAGCTCTGAAACATCGTGATTTCTCAATTCCGACCCAAAATCCCTGCTCAGAATTTGTAGCGGTAACTCACCCATTTTCTTGTTTATTACACAGTATACACACAAACGACATGCACCCAAAACATGTTGAACTGGTGGCGCCTGTCAGCGCAGCTAGTCGCCATTCTTACATCATAATGAGTTTACGTACATTTATTCATCACAAATTGAATTGTGTCGTGCCCGTTCGCCATTGACGACCTTTGGCCTTTAACCTGTCCCGCACTGAAAAGAGTCAGCGATTTGATGGGACATAATTTATTTTAGCCAATGAGCTCCCTTTGCTCTTTAAAATGTATAATCACTATGTCGATGATGTATTTCCGATATGGGGAGTGGTCATAATCAGGAAGATACCCTTTCATTGCTATGTCTATATCAATGATGTATTGCCGATATACTAATGACATACAGCCATCATATTGCTGATGTATTGCTGATATTTAATTTGCCTACTGCCTATATATTGCCGATTTAATACCGATATATCGCTCATTTATAATCACTATGTCGATTATGTATTTCCGATATTTAATGATGTATTGCAGATATATTTCTGAATAAAGGGGCGCCGGGGGTTGCCTGGTGATTGGCTCGTCACGCCGGTTCGATTCCCCACATGGGTACAATGTGTGAAGCCTATTTCTGGTGTCCCCCGCTGTGACATTGCTGGAATATTTCTAAACGCGGCGTAAAACGCAACTCACTCACTCACTCACTCTGATGAATAAAGATACAATCAGTCAAACCAGAAAGGTATCCAACAGGAAAGGAATGCACCCAGACAACGAAGATAGAAAACAGAGATATTTATGCCCATAAGGTCAGAGTCGATAGTGGTTGTTGTCGTCTCTTGAACATTTATCAATAATAATCGGCCTGAATAGATCTAGTTCGTGCAATACAAACCATGGGCGATGTCATGTAGATCGACCATGGGTCACGTTAACACGTAAAGAACAAAGGTCAGCAAGCAGGATCATCTTAACACACTTTGTATGATAAGGAGCAGGGTGATGTTGGCTCACAATATCACGTGTCTTCTTGAAATGGGTCATATACGTTTGTGTTAGCGTATGATGTTGGAAATCGGCCATATACAGAGATTTCTTCTTATTTCGAGTGTTTGTATATTTGTACCGCAAATTTGCTCTCGTTATTTTCTGGGGATGTTTAGCTTATCTCAAAAAGTCAAAATTTCCACAGGGGCTTGTAACGCTAAAAACTGCCATCAAGGTATATACTGTCACTGACGGGGTCTTAGTACTACAGTATATAAGGAAAGGGATGTAACGAGGTCAACACACCAAGTTCGTTCCAGAGCGAATTCAACAATGCTCACTGTATTTATCCCATTTAAAGTATGCACACATTTCAAGCCAATAGATGTACCTACAAAATAGGACATACAGCACAAAAATCGAAGCAGTACTTTGGGAGCTAGGGTCTTCGGAAGCTCGAAACATCGTGATTTCTCAATTCCGACCCAAAATCCCTGCTCAGAATTTGTAGCGGTAACTCACCCATTTTCTTGTTTATTACACAGTATACACAAACGACATGCACCAAAACATGTTGAACTGGTGGCGCCTGTCAGCGCGCTAGTCGCCATTCTTGTCATAATGAGTTTACGTACATTTATTCATCGCAAATTGAATTGTGTCGTGCCCGTTCGCCATTGACGACCTTGGCCTTAACCTGCCCCGCACTGAAAAAGAGTCAGCGATTTGATGGGACATAATTTATTTTTAGCCAATGAGCTCCCTTGCTCTTTTAAGTGTATAATCACTATGTCGATGATGTATTTCCGATATATTAATGATGTATTGCAGATATATTTCTGAATAAAGGGGCGGTGGGGTTGCCTGGTGATTAAAGCTTTCGCTCGTCACGCCGAAGACCCGGGTTCGATTCCGCACATGGGTACAATGTGTGATGCCCATTTCAGGTGTCCCCCGCTGTGACATTGCTGGAATATTGCTAAACGCGGCGTAAAACGCAACTCACTCACTCACTCACTCTGATGAATAAAGATACAATCAGTCAAACCAGAAAGGTATCCAACAGGAAAGGAATGCACCCAGACAACGAAGATAGAAAACAGAGATATTTATGCCCATAAGGTCAGAGTCGATAGTGGTTGTTGTCGTCTCTTGAACATTTATCAATAATAATCGGCCTGAATAGATCTAGTTCGTGCAATACAAACCATGGGCGATGTCATGTAGATAATTGTGTCGTGCCCGTTCGCCATTGACGACCTTGGCCTTAACCTCCCCACACTGAAAAGAGTCAGCGATTTGATGGGACATAATTTATTTTTAGCCAATGAGCTCCCTTGCTCTTTTAAGTGCGGGGCAGGTTAAGGCCAAGGTCGTCAATGGCGAACGGGCACGATACAATTCTGTTTGCGATGAATAAATGTACGTAAACTCATTATGACAGTGAGATGTAAGTGTCTCCGAAAGAATGGCGACTAGCGCGCTGACAGGCGCCATCAGTTCAACATGTTTTGGTGCATGTCGTTTGTGCATACTGTGAAATAAACAAGAAAATGGGTGAGTTACCGCTACAAATTCTGAGCAGGGATTTTGGCTCGGAATCGAGAAATCACGATTTTTCGAGCTTCCGAAGACCCTAGCTCCCAAAGTACTGCTTCGATTTTTGTGCTGTATGTCTCATTTTGTAGGTAAATCTATTGGCTTGAAATGTGTGCATACTTTAAATGGGATAAATACAGTGAGTATTGTTAAATTCGCCCTGAAACGAACTTTGTGTGTTGAACTCGTTGCATCCCTTTCCTTTTAAAAAGTACTAAGACCCCGTCAGTGACAGTTTATACCTTGATGGCAGTTTTTAGCATTACAAGCCCCTGTACACAATGAACACAGATGAGGAACGTGAGACTTGGAGCAAAGACTGCAGTCAGCATAGACACTGATGATATGGCCCCTCCCAGCATCACCGTCCTCCTTACACCCAGTTTCTCCAGCACAAAGTGCATACTGAATAACGCTGTAAAACAATAACGACACAATACTGCAATAATTGATTAATTACTTATGAATATTTATAACGCGCCATTCCAGGCTTTATATCCTGCTCAAAGCACACAATCTGATTATTATTACCCCATATAACCCAAGCTGCCTGTGAGGCGCTTGATGGGTAATAGTCACATTACTTATCTTACCGGGTATCCATTCTCTGCTAAATGAACAGTGGCAATTTTGAACAAACTCACTTGCCTAAGGTGAGATCACATGTATTACATTTGCTTCGTTGTGAGGAAGGACTAAAGTCCTAGAAACACTCAGGAGTCAAGCTACCAAATACGGTAATTCATTAATATGATTTTCATTTTGTACTGAATTATTTCTCTTTAAAACTTTTAGTATTCAATTGTGTCTCTAAAACAGCAAAATATGAGCAACTGGTGAATAGATGGTCTTAGACGTTAGCCAATCAAACCGATGAAGATAGTACTATCATGAAAAACCAAAAATCCTGATCATGGTAGGCCTGTGCAGAGTCGGACATATCTAAGGGACACAACTCTCACAGGGACTTGCAGGTTTTTCCACTATCCGGTCGATCATGATCCTCTAAGTATACGTTGCGGTAAACGCTGAGGACACAGAACAAGAGTCAGTGAGTATGATTTTACGCCGCTTTTAGCAATATTCCAGCAACATCACGGCGGGGGACACCAGAAATGGGCTTCACATACTGTACCCATGTGGGGAATCGAACCCGGGCCTTAAGCGTGAGGAGCGAACGCTTTAACCACAGAGTTACCCGACCGCCCCCACACAACAAGAAATATTTCCAAGAAGAACTAACATGATAAACTGAAGACGCCGGAGGATACCCCCATGATGAGGGTAGTTGTTGTTACAGACGCCTCGAACAGTCGAAGGTATTCCACAAACAGGATGCTCAGAGACTTGATGTAGCCGACCATGAGCACAATGTTCAAGAAAGATCCTGAAAGAATATAGAACAAATTTAAACAAATTCACTTTAACTGTAGGCGTATATACAAACATGTAAAATTAATATACAAGTGGTCAGTTGCATCCGCTCACAGACGCCCTTCTTGAAATGTTTCGGGAATGGTCTGTCACCGTCACTTTTACTCGCTCATCGACGCCACTTGTAAATAGGTTCGGGAATGATCAGGTCACCATTAGTTGCACGCGCTCACTGACGCCCGGTTAGATCACAGTCAGTACGCGCTCACCGACGCCAGTTATGAATAGTTTCGGGACTGGTCAGGTCACCATCAGTTCACTCCCTTTCCGACGCCACTTATGAATAGTTTCGAGAATGGTCAGGTCACCATCATTCGTACGCGCTCACTGACGCCACTTATGAATAGTTTCGAGAATGGTCAGGTCACGGTCAGTTGTACGCGCTCACTGACGCCACTTATGAATAGTTTCGAGAATGGTCAGGTCACGGTCAGTAGAACTCGCTCACTGACGCAACTTATGAATAGTTTCGAGAATGGTTATGCTAGGATCACCCAATAAGCACCGAGCTGTGATCACATATCATCCTCACTTGGTGAAGGCAGCGCAAGGGCGAATACAGTCACTACCGGGATAAAGTCCTCATGCCAGTATTTTTATGACCATCGCTTTTTAAAGGCACTATATCAGACCACACTTTTTAAAAATAAATAATGCCTTTCTCCGAATAATTCTAACTATCAGCCATCAGGGAAGCTACCATATAACTTAGATTTACCATATAATTTAGATTACAATAAATTTAAAAAGTTCGAAAGAAACTAATGCAACGTTGCATTAAATCGACTCTAGCGCCCTCTAGCGGCAGAATATTATTTCACGCGAACCCCCTAGAGTTATGTCCCTCCTGCACACAACTTGTGATTGAAACCAGTTCGGCAAACTCCGACAACGCCGCGTGCGACGGTTCTCGATGTACGGGGCAATTGTTTACATTCCATATATGGCAAGTGGTCTCTGTTTAGAACTGTCCGCCTCAACGTTTCAATTATCGATTTAGGCAAGTCGTAAGGGATATTAAGTCTTTAAGAAGGTAAAGTAAGTGCATATGCCGCAATATATAATTTAGGCCAAAATATTGTCGAAAATGTGCGAAGGTGTGCATTAAAATCCATAATTCAGATCCGGTTTCCTAAAAACATGTAACAATGGTGGTAAAGTAAAACTGTAAGAGCGTCTAATATTTCCCTAAAGATTAAAATTCATATTTTTAAATATATATTAAAGTAAACTATCTAAATATATAAAAAGCATATATTCATAATCACAACTTTCTACGATGAAATCCACAATCAATGACGATTACCCATGTTCCTGCGACACATGATTGGTAGAACCATTGACAGTGACAATCAGTCAATAATTGATCCAGGCAAGATTACACGATTCACCCTGTAACTGTACGAGCGTTTATACTGGAATTATCAATAACCCGCTTAGAGAAAAGGTGTGGTGACCTCGGCTACGGCTAAATATGACAGTTTCTTCTTCAGCACACCACATGTTCGCACATTTCCTATCGGTTTGCTGATGTTAGCCCTATACCAGCACGACGGCAATTAGCTGCAACAGCTGTGAATAGACATTAGTCTAGCTTCCTGACATTGTTTGTCACGTGCTACAAAAGTCAGCTGATGGACGCTGTGACATATACACACGGTGGCTCTGACAAGAAACAGGTGTGTGAGGTAAGGCTTGTATTTATTGAATATCTATCAATATTATAATTATTTGAATAGCGAACACACCGTTTCAGGGCAATTGCTCAACCCCGCGTTGTAATGAACAGTCTGAAATTAACAGGAAAGTGACAGTTCCTGAAAACATTTTAACGAATTTTATTGAAATGTACGAGCAAAACAAAGGAACGTATTTTAGCAGGTGATGTCACATTCTGGGAAATACGTGTGCCTATAGCTAGTGGTTAATGAGCTCTGATTTAAATGTTGATATATCTTTGAAACACAATGCATATACATTGTATATATGATAGTATTATATATTTATAAAATGACCTTTTTATCATGGTTTCATCAAAGACAAATGATTATTATTATTCAGTGCAGCCTTTCACTAGAATGCTTATAATGATATTATGATATAATATGTTGGCAACACACACACACACACACACGCACGCACGAACACATGCACACTTAGTAGAGCATCCATATTACAGGTTCATATTCATAATACCACAAAACATACATTCTCAACACACTTTGGGGCATGTATTAGACAAAGATAGTATCTATAAAATATTTTATTACTCATTTTTAACAAAAATCCAATCTTCTTGAAAATAACCATCTGGATGTCCCATGTTTAACATGTGGTCGGGTTTGTATGCCTTTTGGTTATCACAGTTATAATATAGGACACATATTCATTTCAATATTTCAGCATATCATTTATCATTGCGCCTGACCTCAGTGCAGGTTCCAGAGGCGTGTACACGCGAAGTAGGACACGTTGTCGGATATGCATATGACGAGAGGGGTGATTCATCAGTGCCTTGGGAGGGGGTCACAGCAACCCTTGCCCCACCAACATGTCTTACACATGGGGAAACGAGTAGGGCATTGCCCCACAGCTGTCGGTTATGTAACTCAGTTACTCCTTCAAGTAAGACAAAGAGTGAATATTTTTTGATGCCGTACACAAAAAATGTTACATGTAGAATGGAGACAAGTGTTCATTGCAGTAGTACGCTATCAAATATACTTACGGAATTAAATGTTTTTATGTGACGTCACAATGACGTTATGTGACGTCATAATGACACGCCATAAGTGGTGCTAATGGTTAGGGTGTAACCATTCATGGATGCGGTGACTCGGATCATACAGTCAGGTTTTATGTGTGTTTATTTATGCAATTTTCAATGAAATATTCCTACATAAATTTGGTAAGTATTTCATATCTGATGAAATTGGATAAGAAGGGAATAAATGTCTTTTACCCAAGAGTACATAATTACGTGACTCAAGTAAGAACGGCATTTCTTTTTAACAACCCCGTAATGCAGGAACTGAGCCTGCCCCTTAAACACCAAGTTTTTGACATATAATCTGGTCTGTAGTTCATTTGTGAACTGACTCACACTGAAACAAAGGGTGGAATATTTACGTAACGAAATTGTTGAAAACGACCACGACTCTAGGCCTGGCTCTGATAAACTTTGAAACAATGAGGACGAACAGGATTTTAACCCACCATTATAAGGGAGGCAACTCTACCAAACAAACTGACGTACCTTCAGCGACTTATAATTAGCTATCCATGCCCCGTTGTTTTTGGAAATAGCAATCACCTTCTCACAAGGACTACTTCCCAATTTTATTGGATATTATCCAGTCAACTAACTAAAGTGCACTGTGGAATGTACATCACACAGGGTTCGGATTAACGGGATTTGACAACCAGCTCGATATGATCTATATCAGCATTAGCTAACGTATTTAGAAAAAGAGCGTACCACAGTTCATTGGCAATCGGCCGGAACGTTTGTGATACATTTCTATACAGTTCGACAACTCCACTTTCGCAACTATCACCATTTACACAGGGGGAGATAACTCCAGACACAATTATTAGTGTTGTGTTAAAGAGGAATTCACTTGCTAAAGTATTATCTGGGTAACTAGAGACTGCATAGATACACATTATCTCTACTTTACACAACCACCATAATAATAATACGTCAAAAGACAGTCTCCACAAATAACGTTTATAAAAATATATATTATGTCACGATTGCAATGGACAAAACAAGCTGTCACTCACCTATCAGTATAAACCATGCCCATCCTCTGTCTATGGGTAGATCTGGATCAACGTCCTCAGCCACGCCCCCTTTGGCACCATCGTTCTCCTTTGTACTAACCATTTTCTTTGTTCATGCACGTTTCGATCAAGCACCAGTGCCCTTTTGTTTTCGGGACTGCTCTGGAAAGTGGTTCAGTCACATCGCATTAAGGTGTTTGTCCATCATCAACCTTAATGCAGTGTTATTTAGTTTAATAGTTAGCTTCTGAGTTCGCCAGTGAGCTTGCTTGATGGTGGGTGGAAGACGTTCATTAGAGTCTTTCATAAGGTTACGCGCAGGAGACGATTTGATTGGCTGGATGATGTAACGTAATTGGTGTGGTCGTCTAGAAGAACGGCGCTGTGTATCTACAACGAGAATAAAGGGTGAGAGGGAGCATTTGTATGGATACAATAAATCATGCGAAAGAAAAGTGACATTTGATCTTTGGATATGGAGTTACCATACATGCGTGATACCCGTATGAAATACGTCAGCAACGGACACTGATTACATATCACCGACATAGACTAGTGCATACGATTTGTTTATATAAGATCAATGTACAACTTGCGTGCTGATATTGAAAATACCCTGTTCAATGGGCAGATGATGATGGTGATGATGATGATGGTGGTGGTGAAGAAGTTGATGATGGCGATGATGACGGTTGTAGCGGTGGTGATGATGATGGTGATAGTGATGATGATATGCAGAATATATTATAATAATGTAGAAAAGCAAGAGTTCGCCACTAAACATTTTACGTTCTAAAATAACTTTTCCAACCTCTTACATATTTAGTAACATTTAGTCTTTGAAATGAACATATTTCACCGAAGAAAGGTCTACAAATTCCTCAATGAAATACTATAAAAAGCAGTCGAGATACTACAGAAAACTAGACGTGCCACATAATCTAGACGTGCATGGGCTGTATTGGATATATTTGTTTCAGTATCCATATGCCAGCTAACATATAGGTGGGGCGGTGGGGTAGCCTAGTGGTTAAAGCGTTCGCTCGTCACGCCGAGGACCCGGGTTCGATTCCCCACAGGGGCACAATATGTGAAGCTCATTTATGGTGTCCCCCGCAGTGATATTGCTGGAATATTGCTAAAAGCGGCGTACATCCATACTCACTCACTCACTAATACATATATGTAACACTGTCTCTCGACAAATACTAATTTTTATCGTAACATCAGATATCCCAGGCATGTCCACGTACTGATATACTGCGGCAGAGGCAGTGTAAAATAGGTTGCAGAGAGTAGCCTTGACAAACGCCCACTTACACCTTCATCCTATTGCAAACAGGCCGGTGGCTCATCCAAACAAAGCGAGGGACTATAGTGCGATGATTTCCTTGCAATATTACGTAACGCCCCATAAACGCAGATTTGCCGGTTACCCAGCAATTGAGCAGCTTGGGATTGAGCAACAATACTTTCACAGTTTTGCACCGAACAATACATCATTTGAGCTGCGTGGTCAGTCACCGGTCTGTCGCGGTATATGTGGGCATCAGTTTGATCCAGACATCCATCGTTAAGAAGATTCAGAATGTATGTTAATCAATTTATCTTATAAAGTTTCATTAATTACCTCCACAAGATTCAGTTACATAGCAAATCAGTAATTAGCTATAGGGTGAATCCATTCTATCAGACAGGGGAGTATGGTGTGTTTTCGTTGTTAATTACCTACGCCACTGTCTCATAACTGGGAGTCTCACAACTGGGAGTTCTCACAAATGGGAGTAGACCACGGGAAGTGGTAGATATATTTCAGGCCGTGCAACTTCTTTGTCAGCACAAATTAACTTTCTTCAAAGAAACATTTGAATTTGTGATTTATGTACAAATATGTCAAAATGTTTTACAAATACGTTCAGTTTATAATTATATCCTATATGGGGCGGTGGCGTAGCCCAGTGGTTAAAGCGTTTGGTCGTCCAGTCGAAGGCTCGGGTTCGATTCCCCATATGGGTACAATGTGTGAAGCCCATTTCTGGTGTCTACGGCCGTGATATCGCTGGAATATTGCTAAAAGCGGCGTAATAACCAACTCACTCACTTACTGTATCCTAAGCCAGTATGAAGTGTTTCTGATTTTCCTCTTAAACTTTAGTACAGAATAGATACCTTTCAATATTCTGTAATATATTATGAATAATTGGTATGATGAATTACGAGGCGAAATTGTGTATAATATGACGTTACGGTTTTCTCTGATTTAAAAGTAAATGTACATATGTGTGTCCGTGCGCGTGTGCGTTAGGATTCTTGCAACTGTCTTGACCAATGTAGGACAGGATCAAGATAGTCTTAACATGTACAGACACAGTATATCGAGCCGACCAGGTTTTATCACTTAATGCCGGGCAGTAATTACAAGTACCGTCCTTTCACGTCTTTGTTATGACTCGGTCGGGAAATGACACCACCAAACTTAGGTCCAATCCACTTAACCGAGACGGATGTCCTGTATGACGATTACATTCCATAACATAAATTATGAATGTCATACTTATTGGGGTTTAAGTTCTGTAATGTCATACATCTGTGTATTCCATGTAACCAAACAGATCGATGATGTCTAGGTGAACGGTTAATTGTTATGTTATCATAGCCGCCATATAGCTGGAATATTGCTGGAATATTGCTGAGTGCGGCGTTAAACAACAAATCAATTAAACAACAAATGTCATCATACATCTATTCATATCATGTAAACTAACATATCGGCGATATCTGGGTGAATGTGTAAAAACTAATACCAAACGTCAGCTGGTGTATGATCAAGTAGAGCGTTGTCAGCGTGTAGAAGGACTGAAAGGTGTCAACTCGTACACAACACGTGTATATCGCAGTTGTGTACACGTAACACCGAGCTTTACGGGTCCTTTACAACGACTATGGGTTTTACTCCCGAGAATGATACCATGCCCAGCTTTAGATCATCAAAGGATGTAAAGGAAAAAAATAATATTTATATTTGGTTATTATGGTTTAATCTGGTGAATTTGATGAAGTCGGGTTGAAAACATTGGACAGAGACGTACATGCGTGTGAAAGTGAAGCATAATGTAAATACAAACATATGAAGGTAACAAATAAAGTTTTGAATGCGTCTTCGTTGGTGTGGATATGTGTGTGTGTGTGTGTGTGTGCGTGCGTGTGTGTGCGCGTTCCTATGTATGTATAAAAGCGCCCTCAGTCTTAAGTAATGCCATAGATAAATATAGTAAGTGGAACAGTCTTGTCTCTTACGAGGGAGAGAGAAAGAGAGAGAGAAAGAGAGAGAGAGAAAGGGAGAGAGAGTGAGAGTGAGGAGACAGGGAGGGAGAGAGGGAGGAGAGGAGAGAGAGGGAGAGAGACAGAGGAGAGAGGGAGAGAGAGGGAGAGAGAGGGAGGAGAGCGGAGAGAGAGAGAGAGAGGAGGGGAGAGAGACAGAGGGAGAGAGAGAGAGAGGACAGAGAGAGAGAGAGAGGAGAGAGAGAGAGAGAGAGAGAGAGAGAGAGAGAGTAAGAGAGAGAGAGACGCCCAAATATTCTCATATTTACTTAATAAAGATTCTGAATCAAGACTTACCTCTAGGTACCCAGACTACATATACAGTATATATAGTATAAGGTTCCTTGCCTTCAATGATATAACGTATGGCAAATACAGCATACCTCCACCAGGATCATGTGACCGTCAGTGTCAAAACCAGCCGGTGACTCGCGTCCAGCTGGCTTTGTGAGTGCGAGGCGTTCTTTATCTCCGCTGTGAGTTTCACGACTTCAATACTCCTGGAGCTGGGGTGTTATCATTTTCTGACCCGGAAAACTGGAACGTCAGGGTCGACCTGGAACACGTGCCGCAGCTGTTTTCACACATTCTTTTTGGTGGTGACAAGTCGTAAAATCAATCTTAATTGTATAGACAAAAATTGATATTTCTACTGTTCTCGTATCTGTTGATTTTTCCGTGTTGTTTTTATTTGAGGGAATGGACATGTTGGTTTAATGAACATGGTGTTTGTGTGGCGTGTGTTTGTTTTGTGCGAGTGTGCGAGTGTGTGTGTGTGTGTGTGTGTGTGTGTGTGTGTGTGTGTGTGTGCGAGAGAGAGAGAGTGTGTAGGGTGTGTGTGTGTGTGTGTGTGTGATGGAGTGTGTGGGTATATGAGGGAGTTTGTGTGTGTGGAAGGGTGTGTGTGTGTATGTGTGTATGTGTATGTGTGTGTGTGCTTGGTTGCGTATGTCTGCATGTGAGCCTGGGGATCTGGGGAGGATCTTAACATCGAGAGTGTCTTTAGGTTTGCTACTATTGAGTTTGTTCGGATGGGTTTATAGCTTTAATAGCTGCGTAAATGTGCGTGCGCGTGTGCGCGTGCGTGTGCGTAGGATTCTTGCAATTGTCCAGACTAATGCAGGGCGGGATCAAGATACCATGTCGATGACAATGACGTGTCGTACATCTGCTGACACAATAAGGTTTTATCTGTTATTGCATTAAAACTCCTGGTTGAAATTGATGATAGGTAAGGTCTTGACAACACGACCACAGCGAGTGTTAAACTAAACCATACATACACGCCTGCCGCACGCTGTTGATAAGAGACATACATTGACATCAGCACTTCGAGGACTAGTAGGCCAACATACAGTCTGAGGTCACAATGATACCCATTGTCCGTATGGCTCTAAGAGCCATTAGAACGAGAAGCCATTAGAAGGGCCGAGGAAGATTCCGAATGCTAAAATGAGCATTAGATGTACTTGTATGATACACAAAAGGAATGGATCATTAATAACATCATAGTTAATGTTATTTACAGATATCCTTATGTTATATTTGTGACTGGTTTGAAATAGCATAACATACACAAACCAAACAGACAAGAATAACTTTCAAATGTACTTTTAACAGATTTTAGTATGGCGCAGTAATTTAGATCTAAAAGTTGTGATGCTATCAAATTAACCTGCCATGAATGGCACTTCCAGAGTTAACTATTTAATGCACAATGTGAGTCACGTAAATATTGCATTAGCGTGTGTGCTTACGAAACGAATACAAATAGACGTGTTTTATGTCGGTGGATCCACTAACAGGCTGGTTACCGTTATCCCTCCCCGTCCCTGGCACACACACATCCATTGAGGACGTGCAGTACTGCATCTTTACATCCTTATGCTCCGGCTCACCTCTATCAGCCGTATATACGTGCTCTGTATCTGGTTGGTGAGCGAGTGTAGTTTAACACCACACTCAGCAATATTCCAGCTATATGGCGGCGGTCTGTAAATAATCTACTCTGGACCAGACAATCCAGTGATCAACATGATCATCGATCTACGCAATTGGGAACCGATATATCGATGTGTATTTGGTGAGAAGCGCAATGACTTAACATGATATGGAAGCTTTGGTAGATCATTGGCTGTTTCTGTTTAACACACGATTGTGTCTTTTACACCCAAACGAATTTGTCTTTGATCGGAATTACGCGCAAATGCAGGAAATAGTTTGTTTGTGATATGTTAATGAAAGTGCTTCTGCTCATGATTTCAATCATTGGAGTACGCCTTTTTCTTATTTGTCAATAGCTTCAGACTTCAGTACCAGTCTTGTCCATCGCCATTTTAGATAACACATCTTCCATCCAACGATCTCTGTCGAGATATTCTTCAGTTTATGGTTAAAACGTTGCGGAATGATTAATGCCAACCCAGTTTGTAATGATTCTATTCATGTAATCATTATTTATGCCAAGCATTCAACTGTAATATGCATAAAACGGAATTACGATCATGCGACCTTATGTTTGTGTGTAACATGCGTAATAGGTGTGTCGCCAGACTATTTGGTACATGCAAGTCATGCATGCTGCAACCGCTGGGCTTTCAAACATTAATTAACGTAATTAGAACCCGGAAATCGTGTTCATTTTGCACTGTGACACTCTGACAGCTTATCTATTCTAATATTGCCTAGACCATCTCGATTCATGGATGTGTCACGGAAGTGTATGACGTGATGCATTGTATCAAGACGTGACATCCTCCAAGAAAGTGGTCACGTTTACGTTTTTAATGATTTAGAAAAGGCAGGCAACAAACGTGTGTACATATACTTTATCTTAAAAGATACATTTTGATGGAAACTTTAAATAATTTGAAGTCCACACGAATGTGACCATGTACATTTTAGCATTTGTACCGGATGATTTGAAACACGAATGCTACAGGAATCCAATGAATGTCACATGCATTCATAAAACATGGCTATCACTTCTAAGGTTAAATACAACGACTCTAGGAACACTTAATACTACTACATGTGATAAATGAGCATTGTTTCAGAGGCATTGTAACAGTGATACATTACAGCACCCATCAATGAAATCCAAATGACGAAATATCCACAGAGAAGCAGATAACAAACACTTACCCCATCTGTATAAGCATTTCTCAATGTGCATTATTTCCTCCTTCAGTGAGTCCGTATTATTATGTACATTTATATATAACAAACAACTAACAATGTCACAATCCATCTGGCAGCTGTCTTCATTCAGACCAATTAACGTCAGCCAACTGCATAATAAAACCATAAAATTCTGGCAACATGTCTCGGTTAAATGTTCCTCGGAAACAAATAAGTCCTTGCAATTCAGACACATGTTAGGTGTCGACCTGTTTACACATTTGAAGCACTGTGTGTTGTACTGCAACATTAAAACGATGACCGTTCGTGTTATAAATTAATTAAACAAGACACCATCATGTGGTATCAGTGTGATGAACACATTAGTATGAAATACAATACAATCACTGACCTCTATGGCGAAAATTCCAACACAAAATTGTATTGGCACCTGCTGGTTAACATCAGCCAGTCTGAAGATAAAACACCGTGAAGACCGTAAGTACAAACTATGTTTAAGCCACGACTGAAAAAATGACAGGTCATTATCTACAGAAAACGTAAATCCGTGGACACGAGAAGTAGTCCGAACGTGATGTAAGCTTCTGGTAAGTTCTTATTTGTGATTACTTCACAATCCGGCTTAGGATTCGTATTTCCAGATGCAATTTTTTCCGGACACAGTGAATATCCATTCTTCTCTCACCCTCGTTACATATTTATGAGTTATGGCTTTGGCCTTATAAGCTGTTTCGGGTGAGGGAAGGTAATTTATTACCTTCTAATGTTACAGTGACATTGTACATTCATTGTACTTTTAACTTCGGTTAAAACGAACTCAACGGAAACCTTTAGTTCGTAAAAACTGTCGGTTCATAGTGCAAGCCCACCGATATACTAATAACGCAGTTAGTGGATACTTCTGTGACGTCTTATACTGACCATTCCTTACCATTATATGACCATTCCTTACTTTATATCCACAATATGTAACGCAAGGCACGTAAACAATTATCTATAGGCGTCCTTCGGTATGAGTGAGCGAATGTGTGACTTTAGCTATTTGCCCCACTCAGCAATATTCCAGCGATATGGCGGCGGTCTGTAAATAATCGAGTCTGGACCAGACAATCCAGTGATCAACAACATGGGCATCGTCTGTCGGTATGAACTAACCCAAGGATGGCCTGCCGATAAGTACACCCGATAAGTGTCAGTCGATCTTGTTTTTTCAATCTCCTGCGAGAGCCAGAGCACATCAAGTAAAACTATTAACTCCTTTTGGATTAACGCACTTAGGAAATCAATGCACCAAATTTACGCTCTCCCGACTAACGCCAGACCTGTTGATGCCCAAAACTAATGACCAGGATATTATCTGTAGTATTTCAGTCATGTAACGTCCGCTAGTCATGGAAGGAAAGCCCGAAATAGGATAGGTCGAGATCAGATTTGGAAGTGACACATCTAGACACACAATCAGGCGAAGTTGGCTTGTAACCTTAGTTCAAGACACTGGAAAGTTTTAATGAGGGACTTCAGTCGACAGGGCTAGACTTGCCTTCCTTCAGTTCTTATATACGCTACATATTGTTGGTATGTGGACTTTGGAAAGGTCGTTGCCGCTACTCTAGTCATTCTTGTGTGTGTCTAGCTGTCGACCTCCTCTTAGTGATAGCAATGAGTATCCAATATATACTCTAACGTTGTATTCTTCTTCAAGGGGCAACAAGGTCTCAACAACAGCTGACGAAATACATAATCTGTCTTGCGAAATAGACTGACGGGAAAAAGTAACAGTGGTTCATATAAAATTAAAAAAATATGTTTGTCTTGAAATTTAAAACAAATATATATTCTAAAAAATGTTCATAAAGTCGTCTCCTGGACTCGATTTGAATGAGGACAGCAAACAAGCTCTCAGGTGCTGATAAATGTCACTGGAACAGATACGACCTGTTTTAACATGCGTTAAAGCTCTTCCAGCACTGTTAAAATGACTAAAATTACAAATGAAAACCAATGTGCTTTCGTAGACAGATAAAAATTCATACAAATTTACTCATGCAACCCTAACGCCCCATTCAGGTTGCCATATCATTCTGTCAAATCACCCCTCTTTCAAACAGTAAATGGCCTGGCGGGCCCGTGTGCGAAATACGCGTTATGTCGGAAAGCCAAATCGTCATCATAATCAACATCACCTTCATCGTCGTCGTCATCATCATCGTCGTCGTCGTTATCACCATCATCATCACTACCATCGTCGTCATCATCATCGTCATCATCAACATCAGCAGCAAAAAATTAAAAAATAAAAATAAAAATAAATAAATAAATAAAAAACAATATATAAAAAAAAAAAAAGAAAAACATCATCAGCAGCAGTATCGTCATTGTCGTCGTTGTCTTCTTCGTCGTAG